CACCCTGCTGTCGTGGTTTCAGGGTTTTTGTTTTAGTGTTTGTATTTTGAGTTRATTCCTYTTTGATAGGTTTTCAGCTATTCAGCCTCTCGAGAGGCTCCCTCTGCTCCTGTTCCAATTGTCAAAGAGATTCCCCCCTGAGTCAAACCCCCCTGATGTGTCTCACCTGCCCAGACAGCCTCTGGGCCGGTCACCAGAACTGAATCTCCTTGCCTTGATCTCGTCTAACTTGCTTGTTCCTTCTGGACCCCGTTCTCCCATTGGCTTCAGGATTGAGCTGTAAGGGTTGTTGGGAAGCTTTCTTCACTATGATGCTGGTTTCTTGTGCCCACTCTGAGATGYTGAGAGATTTTTTTCCTCACTTGAGGTCTTTGCTCGTGAAAGGGCTCAGGCTGAAAACTAGATTATTTTCTCTCAAAGTCATTCAAAAACCTAGATTTCTGCCAATAGTGTTGCTTGTCAGCTGGCCCAAGTGTCTGGGCCAACAGGCAGTAAAAAACTTGTAGACAGGGCTGGCCCTAGCCAAGGTTTTAGGTGGCACCTCCTAGAGCAGTTCTCTAAATCTCACTGCCAATTTACACATTCACATACCCCAAAAAAATACTTTGCTCCTTATATTTTTTATCTTTAGAAACCAGGTCGTCCACTTAAAAGTTAAAGGGATCCCCAATTCGTTGTAACATTAGATTTTATTTTATAGACATATATTTTAACTGTAAAACAAAGACTGTAAAAATACTGTAGGCTGTTTAGTTTTGTAAATTTTCAAAAATATATTTTAACATGGACGGAGCCATTTTATTTACATGCAAAGCATTCTGGGTAAACAATGACATAGATAGGTCCTCGGTGTGAGTGAGCTATATCCACCCTGAAGGTTAATCTTGGACAATATCTGATGAACGACTCTTTTAAATGAAACCAGAGAGCGTTGACAGAGAGGAGAAGGTAGAAATGACTCAGCCTGTAACTGACAATATAGGTGGAGGAAAACAGAGCTGCTTCATGGAAGAAGAACCTCAGCTTAGCCTGTTAGCCTTTGTGCTAGCGCAGCCGCTATATCGCCTTATATGTTTTAGCTCAGCGCTAGCACGACAAACAAGCTAAACTGAGGTCCTCCATCCATATTTTCAGTTGCAGTCTGAGTCATTTTTGCGTTCCCCTCTCTGTCTTGTGGATGGAGGACCTCAGTGACGAAAGGAGAATGTGTAGCGCTGAGCTAATACATATATATGGTGATAGTGTTGAGGCTAATGCTAAAGCTAACAGGCTAAGGTGAGGTTCTTCTTCCATGAAGCAGCTCTGTTGTCCTCCATCTATATTTTCAGTTACAGGCTGAGTCATTTCTACCTTCTCCTCTCTGTCAACRCTCTCTGGTTTCATTTAAAAGAGCCGATCGTCAGATATTGTCCAAGATTAAGTGGATATAGCTCGCTAGTAGCCTTGCACCAAGGACCTTTCCATGTCCTCATTTACCCAGAATGCTTTCCGTGTAAATAAAATGGCCCCGTCTGTGTAATATATTTTTAAACTTTTAGTTTAAAAATGATAAAAACTAAACATCCCACAGTATTTTTACAGTCTTGATTTTACAGTTAAAATATGTTTATTAAATAAAGTCTAATGTTACAACTAATAGTTGATCCCTTTGAAATAGTTCATTTGAAACAATATAGCAGAAGTCTACCTCACCTGCCAACATCTAATGACAGCAACGAGGAACACATGTTCATGTTAATGAGCAGCTGTGGTGTGAAGCAGTTGTAAGGGGGTCCAGGGGTACACTCCCCTGGAAAATCTATAAAAGATCTAAAAACTATTTTCCAGCCATTTGAAGAGACTTTTACTAAATTTTTAGCATTAATAAAACAACATGAAATCACATCTCAAAATAGTATACAAGATTGTGCTTAACATTGTTCACAAACCAATATAACTCTGTCCCTTTTCATAAAAAAGATTTTAGTTTAATACCCTGGCATGAAAAGCGGTGAACGTTATACATTCTTTCAAGGAATGCCAGGTTTTTAATTTAAAAAAAAAGAGAACTAAAATATTTTGTGGAAGAGCGACTAAAAAAAGCCAATTTCCTTGAACTTTATTAATTCTGAATAACCAGGTCAGACAGACCAAAGTAGTGTGTTTTCAGTGTAAGCACGCCCGCACACACAAAAATAAATATATTCAACTTAAACTGTCTAAAAGTAGAAGGTCAGGTCTAGCTTGGATTGATATAATCAACCTGATTACTGAGGGATTCAGCAGTTCAGTCAATTCACAGCAAGGCTTCATGTTATCTAATTAGTTTACCACAAAGAGCTGATTTTATGGCAGCCGGGACCAAAAGCAGCCTTGTGTTGTAGCTCAAGGCCATAAATAATCAAGGGTCAATTACTATCCGAGACCAGAATTGAAATGGCAGGAGGATAGCACATCAGTCTGCGACAGCGGTGTGGAAACATGCTAAAGAACAAAACTAGGAATGTAGCTGAAGCTAAACCATCCATCCAAGCAGGATGGTCTTGAAATGCTGACTTTTTTTTTTTTTTTTGTAATCCATCCATGCCAGCTGTGTGTCTCTGGCTGTATATCCACATGACCTGTCACTGACACATGGATTGTCTCATTTTCCTCCATCTCCTGCCCAGGTAAGACATTCATTACTCTCTTGTTTGATGTATAGACCACTCGCCCACCCCATCACTCATGAATGGGTTTGAAATACAGCAGCAATCCTGACAGGGTAAATACCTCCCTGCCCCCGTCCCTTTATTCAATTTCTTGACTGTCGAGACTCAGAGCAGCAGCCGTTTGAAAYGAGTCCTGCCTAAGTAAATTACTGCTGAAGATTTCTTGTAATAAAATAATATATGAGAAGTTGTTTTTTTGGGCAGGGGATTGTGCTGAAAGTATTTTGCAAATTAATTGATAGGTTAGGCAAGAAAATACCAGAGTGGAACAAACTAAGAGGGATCTCAAGGAAAACAACAAACTAGAAACTTAATCAAAAAGGAATTGGAGGGAATTAATCTTTTATTTATTCATTTCACTTTTAAGGCAGGCAGAATGGAAATCGTTGCAGATAAGCAAATGCAGAAACCACTGTGGTGAATTCCATAAATTAAAAGGATTAGGAAAAAGTTTTGAAAGAAATTCAGAAATGTGATTGGCTCACAGCAGCTCACATACAGTCAGCAAGACACTATACATAATGCTCCTTTAGAGATTTTCTTCAAAATCAGAATGACAATGATAGCTTTTTTTTTTTTTTTTAGGGATTTTCAATTGGTGTTAGTGTGGAGGGGATGTTTGTTTTAGATTAAACAGAGCTAAAAGTGATAAAAAAAAACTCTAACTAAAGCAAACTTGACTGCCTTCTTCAATTGTATCAACTTATAATGATGGACGGGTGAAGGAAATTAGCTTCATATCACGAGGTGGGCACAATTTTTTTTTCCAGAGGGCCATACTGATTTAGAATTCAGTTTCTTAATTTCACTCAAAAAGTTTCAAGGTTCCCAGTAACTCAAAGTCACAAAGAAATTGTCAAAAYAATTCACTAAAACACAGCTAACAGAGTTCATTGGTTCTTTTTACCTTTATTTTTTATTATCCAGAGTTATGTTAGTCTGCTACAGAAATTAACATTTTTTCTTCGCTTTACTTTAGTCAAATGTTCCCTCTTAAAGGGATAATCTGGTCATTTTTGAAGAGACATTGAAAGTACGTTCACTTGAAAAAACAGCAACATGCAAAAATGAGTTTTATTATTATATATTATGATATAATACTATATACTCACAGTATATTATGATATAATATGAGTTTGATTATTAGCTAATGTAGCATTTTATCAAATCGGTATGCTGCTTTCAAGAAAGAATTATTTTATGAGCCTGAAAAATGATTAAAGAAAAAACTTGGCTAATATAGAAGAGTTTTGTCTCTTTCTCTTCACTTCATGCTGACTGATGTCTGATAAGCTACTAACTATTGATAACTAGGTGTGTAACAAGACATCAGTCCACATTGATATATGGATTACATTTTTAACGAGTCCAWTACATCGATGCAAAATGAAAACATTTATCAGTATTGTCATTAWATGCCCAATGTGGACTGAWATCRYACGTCCATCTAGCACAATCATTTGTAGAAGATGGACGAATGATATTGCAACCTATCAAACTTATGAAATTAATCAAATCGAAATYRTATCATGACAGAATTGATATAGAAACATTGTATCAATATAATATTGTATCCTGATCCAAAAACCAACACTGACTTGTATGCTGTTAAAAAAAAGAATGGACTCTTGTCTTTTCAGCAAAATCTTGATACAATAAACTTCAATCACTGTTATTGTTTTCATCTTGTGTTTAGTTGGTGCAATAAAAAACACTTTAAATGCTTTTGACAAAATAGTTAAATAAGATATTTTGTATGTAATTGTGTTTGYCCTGTAATTACCTGTTTGAAGGCCCTACTCCCCCGGCTATAATTATATACAGTATAGGGACAAAAAAAAATGTTTTGACGAAACAGATTCATTAGCAAACAGCAGCTGGATGCTTCCTCCACAAAGCCGTTAAGCGCTGACCAGTGAAAACACTCCTCCAAACTGTTTTAAAATAATTGCGTAGCACAACAAAAAAAGTGCATGAGAGCTTGGATAAATACACAATCATCGTTTGGGTCAGTGGGCTGTAATTATCCCAGGAAMAATGTGAATATGCTGTAATTACGATGCAAATGTTTTGAATGCATTCACCATGAGACGGTCTTTAYAAAAGACTGATTTTTTTCCTTTCTCTGTTTTTGTTTTTTTGACGAGACATAAGGTTGTGAGAGGTTAACAGGTTTCGCTTTAAAACTTTTCTTCTCCAGCAGGGACGAGGTACTCCGCTGACCTGAAGCAGTGACGAAATGAGAAAATTTTCCCTGATTGTTACAACGACAGGACTGAGAAAAAGTAAGAATGGAAACACAAAGACTCGTTAGCATTAGATCTTTCTTTATTTCATGTTTGATAGGTGGGACGGACTAAAAACTGTAATTAGGTCTTGTGTTGATTTAGAGGAAACAACGTTGACAACAATTCTGAGTTTGCACATCAACACACACACCTTCACACACACACACGCAGAGAGCAGGGATGCAGCAGGGCTAATTTGTTTGGAAGGAATTAATTAGATATTATTAGGGAGAAAACAATGAAGCAGAGGCGGGGTGTTTAACGACGGGACGTTAAAGAGGCGAACCTGTCATGGAACAATAGGCTAATATCCACCCACCGCTTCCAAGCTACTGCTCAATTATGTTATCACACAACAGAACGTGCACACAAACACACACGCTGTATAGAAATGTGAGCCGTACGCGTGGCTTCTGATTAGCTCCTTATTCAGGACTGAGTGACAGCGGAGAGGATGTGTTTGTGTTTTACCGCGCGTTCCTAATAGAGCTCAAGTTTCAGTGTTGAAGACGTCGGCTCTTAGAGCCACTTCTTGAGAACGGCCAAAGCGGAGTTGAAGGTGAACTGGGCCTGGTGGGTTCCCCGGTACGCCAGCAGCAGGGAGCCCGCCTCCGGCCGGTGGCCCGCCGCCAYCAGCTCGGCGGCGGCTCTCTCCACGTCCCAGCCTTCCTCGTGCTGCTGGGACAGCATGTGGGCGCTGAGCAGGGGATACAGGGGGGAAGAGACGCTGCCCACCAGGAGGCCCGCGTGCAGGAGCAACGAGAGCAGCTCCGCGTCGCAGGACTTTGCCGTCTCCTGGAGAGAAAGAAAAAAAAAAGTAAATAAAACAAGCGGGGGACATGTAAACAAAAAGATCAACTTCGCTTTTCAAGTGAAATGTTTTTCCTTTCAGCTCCGTTAAGATGACATTTTTTGTCAGCTACGTTTTTGCAAAAACATGGAGAGGTACCAATGCTACTCTAAAATTCCTAAAAATTCAACATGCATCAACTTTCTTCTGTAAGGCCCAACAGGAATATGGGAATTATTTAGCTTAGTTCTATCATTGGGACAGTCTAATTCACAAAACAATCTTGGACTTTCTACCCTTWAAGAAATCCTCAGGAGATTATTTTCTGCACTCAGATGAGTTAATTTTATTAATTAATTGTACTGATTACAGCAAATGATCMTTCCACTTTGCTGCTCAGACTGGAATAAACTGCAGAAAGACTTTTTCTGTTATCACAATGTATTTAGTTATTCATARACATCTGTGGTTTTATTTGGTAATGTCTGCTGCTATTATTGGCCAGGTCTCTCTCGAAAAATAGATTTTTTATCTCAATGAGCTCTACGTGGTTAAATAAAAGTTTAAATAATATAAAAAAACAACCCTTTCGTAATAATCTGAATTGACAAATTTCCACTACAGGCGTATTAACTTAAAAAGGAAAAGGAAAGCTGCCTGTGGCTCATTAGGGTCACTATAGGTTTAAAAAAGGACAGAAATGTTTGTTTCAATGTACAAACATAAAGATTGTTTAATAAGAAGAGCTGGTCTGAAATTCTTTTAAGTTCATACATATCAAAAGAGKATGCAATATCATATTAAATGGAATATCAGTGATAAAATCTAAAAAGGACAAATACATTTAAAATGCAATTGTGAACCAACTATGAAAACTATTAAAACACCAGTTCAGTTACTAAAGCTACATTTTTTGCGACCAGTTGAAACTATGAATAATTCTACTATTAAAGACATATGCTGCTTTTTGATACTTTTTTACATTTAAATACTTCAGTTGGAGTCCATATAAAGTGGAACTGCAAAGCTTTGGTCCTAATTCCTCCTTATTGTAACTCTGTAACGCCCTCCTTTACCCCATTTTTTAGGTGTGTCTCTGATAATCTCGTTTTGAGGCTCTCTTTAAATCCTAACAAAGGGCTTCACACTCCATCCCAAGTGCCCAGATCAGTCTATCCTAGTTTGATAGTGAGCTTTATGGCTATATAGCAGCGTAGAAACATTTCATTTATAAACTAATTAAAAGATGTGAATAAAGAAGACTTGTCCATCCAGTCTAACATGTTGAAGCCAGAGTCTGACTCAGAGCYGGAGGAGAATGAAGACCACCACATTGTAGTTAAGTCCAGACTTTATTTAGCAGTTCTGTCACAAATAGGTCAGAAAAAGTTATAGAAAATAGGGAAAACTGGATGAATTGAAAACAACAAAAAGTATACAAAAGATATCTTTGCAGTACCTAGAGAAACTGAATTCAATTCTGCACTCCGACTCCAAGTACAAAAAAATGGATTTATTGACTAAAAAATGGATTTTGCATGATATGTCCTCTTTGTTTTTTTTTTTTTTTTTTTTTTTTTTTTGCCAAAATGCCATCACTGTTCATACAAACATATTTTGCAATTCTTTGCTAATTTTGTCAACATTGCTTTATAGCCCACTATTCCCAAACAAGTTGCACATTTTCATTTTCTATATGGGTCCATCCAGAACCGAAGTAGGCAATCTGAAACTAGAACTGTGACAGAAATGGAGGAATAATGGCCAAATAGTCATAAGGGTGCCTCAGGGCTGAATAAGTGGCACCCTTAAAATTTCCAGGAATTATTTGGCAACACTGAAGGGGGCTTTCTGTTTCAGCGGCACCATGTGGGATCTGTGAATGATTACAGTGTCACACGCTTGAAGGWGTCTGATGGGGTCACAGTGTCACATCACATATTGTGTCGACCCTGTGGCCGACCACTGTTCCCCTGGGATGAGCCTTCACACACACACACAGGCTCACACACACCCTCTCATCAGTCAACTTCCTCAGCCACCACAACAATCCTGAGCACACGCTCCCAGAWCCAGAAACAAACCAATTACGTAACATTTTAATCTCATCATCTGCCTCTTTACATCAGAGAATTACATGCAAATTCAAGCAGCTAAATGCTGCGGGGGGAGTCGCTTTGAGTGCTTTCYAGGCCATGAGGAGGCAGTGTTCAGGTCTGCCTCTCATCGTGACTCAGCCCATCTAATGTGCGACCCCTCACCTGTTTGCTTTCTCCGTTATTAAGCTTGCGCATCTTTCTGCGCGCACACCCGCCAGCCCGTCCTCGTCAGGGGTATTTTTGGAGCTGGAGCCGATCAATTATGAATGCGGAGTCCATGTCTTCTCCTCTGTTGTGGAGATGATGAGTGGAGCTGGATGAGTTTCTCTGCCTCACCTCTGAAATCTCTCATCTCTGCATGAGCCTCACCCCCCCACCCCCTGCTCACTCATTTCGAGGACAATTCAATCTTTTAGAAATAAAATTAAATAAAACACAAAAGCCTATAAAAAAGATGGTATGCTGAGACCTGAGCACGTGAGAGTTCACAGATATTTAGCTGCTGTCACTGGTAATGACACTGAACCCTGGTGGAATTACTGATCAAATGTGAGAAGATCTGCAAAAGWGTATTAATATTCTGGATTTGTGTGCATTTTCAATTCAAGTAGGCTAAAGTGCATGGGCAGTTTGGGACCAAAGGAAGACAGAGCTGACAGATAGCACTTATAGAGATATACCTCTGTATGTTATGCATGAGTAATAATTTAATTTCTAGTCCTTCTATAGAGAGACAGGGCCAGATGAATCATGACAAGCTGGGGCAGGGGGACAGGAATGGATGAGGAGGTCATTTAGGCAAAACGACAATTAAGGGAATGAAAGAGRAGAAAGACGTGGGAGGGGTAAAGAGAAATCGACGACGAAGAAAGACGAAAAGAACGAGCCAAAGAGGAGAAAAGACGACGTGCACTCAAAAGCAGTTGGCGCATGCATTTTTAAGAGCACCAAGGGCTTCCAAAGGCTGAATACACAGCAGTGAAGTGAAACACTTCAAAACACCTTCACACTTCAGCTTCAAACTTTCTGTTCTGCTGTCTTGACAGAGGCCCAGAACAAATGTACAATATGACATATCTGGAGCTGCGCTGACCTATTTCTAAGCTTCAAGTTTCGAATGATAATATTTAAAAAGTGCAAGATAAAGTCTGTGTTTCTATAAAAATTTTGATCAAAAAGTTAACTTGTACTGTAGCCGAAAGTGTCCATGTTAGACATGACGCAAACACYGAGCACKTAAGTTTGCTCTCGATAAAGATGGSGGCACCAGATCAGTTTTACTGATCAATATTTTTAATAATCAGACTCAAACAGAAGTGTGAGCTTGTAGAATTACAGGGAGACCTTGCTCGTCAACACCCAGGAGAAGGAGGGTCTTGTTGTGGTACAGATGGGCCTACCCTGAGAGTTAGGCGTGCAGGGCTGCTACCTGCTCAGGTCGAGGGGTGGCTTTACGGAACCTGGTCTCCAACAAAGGGCTGGCTGGGGTCGACCGCTGTCTGAAGGTCACGCTGAGGGTGGAAAATGCTGAAGCAGGTCRGAATTCGGCTGATGAGGCAGAGTTTGTTCACAACTTGTTTGCTCTTTATTCAAGCCACGAGGTAAGTCTTGCAGTTTAAAAAAGGTTTTCTTCCAAAATAATTGATTTCTTTTCCACTTAGCTTTAAAGGGGACATATGCAATATCCAACTTTGTAGCCATTATATGCATTTTGTTGTGCACTTGGGAGTTGAATTTATTCTCTCACGGTGCTGCGTAGATATCTTTATATTCTATTTCTTTATCTTTCAATTAATTTGTAAATAAAATGTTTCTGTGAACCAGTTCATGTGAATGAAACAGTCTGAAAGCTGGACATATGTAGTCCACACTTGGCTTTAAAGAGACAGCATCAAAATGAGTTGATTTGAAACATACCTCAGAAAAGTCATAAAAAGGGGCTTGTGGAGTTACAGTAATGAGGAATTAAGACCAAAACATTGCAGTTCTACTTTAAATAGACCCAACTGAATGATTTAAATGTGAAAAATAAGGACTTAAAAGCACGATACGTCTCCTTTAAAATTATATATTTTCGAGTTGATTTGTATCTTCTGCTCAAATAAAGACAAAAACAAAAAACACACCAGAAGGAAACACAAGACAAGAGGGGACTAGACTGACACATAAAAAATAAATAAACTACTAGCACAATGTAAAATTCATAATCATTAGATTCTGTAGATGCACATGCAGTTTGTTGCTACCGCAYGTTAAAGTTAGCCTGAAACTCTGCTCAACAGAAGTGCAAGAATCAGCAGGACTTCTGAGCATCACTTCACTGAACTGAYGCAGCATCTTGTCCTCATATCTGACAAAGTAGTAGTTACAGGCTGGGTTGTACAACTTCCAGCCCTGATGCAGCAACTTGAGCAATTACAGGWCAAATTCTAAACAAGCGTCTATTCCGTTTTCCTGGAGAACACACGGAGTTTGCAGAAACAAAATTGGCACGACGAACTGACGTCCGCAGAGCTGTCTCGACCCTTCAGGGGATTTGACCAGATGACAGGCCTGCTGTGATGCTGACCCAGACAAGGATTTATTTCAATGCAACTGAAATGTGACACGACATCAAACACCAGGGAGTAGAGATGCAGGTGTCGGTGCTTTGAATGTCTTAGACGTCACACCTGCGGGGTTGCAGAGGGACCGAATTAAGAGTTCCAGCACACAGATGGATTATTATGTGCAGGCAGTGTGGGCTGCATGATGCACAAAGAAGTTGTGTTTCTGAGGGAGAGGGTGAGMAATGCAGGGAAAGAAATATGCACATGTTGAAAATACAAATTCAGTATTTCCTGCGAGGCTTGAAAGTCTGGAGCAGACCTGCAGTACATAACGTGAGCACAGCCTCTCTGAGACAC